GTTTTTTGTTGATTTGACAACTAAATGTTTGGTAATATCATGTAGTTTTTAATTGCATCAACATTTATTAAAGTTTAAGGGTGAATTAAAAAATAAAGATTAGAAGATCAAAAACTAGAAAATAGAACATGGAAAATAGAAAACAGAAAATGGAAAATAGAAAATGGAAAATAGAAAATGGAAAATGGAAAATGGAAAATAAAGTGAAACAAAGTAAAAAACACTCGTATAAATAAGATTTAATCAACACAAAATTCAAATGAAAATTCAAATAAAAATTTAAATTAAGAAAAGATAAAGGGAAAAAACACATTAAGAACATTTTAACAGAATTAAAATTGAGTATTTTATATATAATGTAGTATATAATATAATTAATTAATTAAAATAAAAAATCAAGTTTAAAATTGAATTTTTTAGGATTGAAATCCTACTCGAGAGTCAATTTTTTTCTTTTATAAGGAAATATCATTCTTGATATTACTATTGTTTTGATTGCTATTGTTATTTAATTGGTAGTAAAATTTGATTGAAATTGAGTAGAAGATGAAGACATAGTAAAAATAACAGGTGTATATGAATACATCGTCGTTGTTAGAGTTATCATTTTTAATGTATTTGGTTTCGTAGGGTTGACAAAGGATAGTAATTGAGATGGCAGAGATTGTAGAGTAATCAGTAATATTAGAAGATGTAAATATGTAATTTTTCAAAAGATCCTCTTATTTGGTGTAATAGTAAGACAAATAGGTAATTGGATCCAAGGCATAAGAAATCATTTTGATTTGTTTCAAGTAATATAGCTAACAAATTGGATTGCAATATATTGAGCAACTGAAAATGTAACGATAAAAAACCAACAAAAAAGACATGAAAAACACTGTTATACATATTGTTTTTAGGCTGCACATTTCAAAACTCAGTAAAAGAAAAATATCGTCTTCCCACAAAAATTCAGATACAACTTCTCTACGATTGCAAGAAAATTGCACACTTTTCCAGCTTTCGATGATGGACATGTTTCTCGTTGCTGCTGGCCATCGGCTGGGTTGACAGAACAGCAAAGTGAGATTGATTGTAAGTTTACGGATAAGTGTCTTAGAGCTGAGGGACACAATAAACTACTATTTATTATTACTTTCTATTAATATAATAAAAAGCTAATATCCAATTGATTTTTCTAATTACTTTAATGTTTTAAAACGCCTGTAATTTCAACAATAATCGTTGAATCGGTAAATCGGATCAAGAATCTACGGATATCAAACAATCATTTTGAGAAGATTGTGCGATTTATAGTGAATTTTCTTTATGGTCCAAGCTTCAATTTAATCATAGCAAAAGAGATAGCAGAGCCACAATAAAGTCTTAATAACGATTAGCTGAAACTTTTATAGAACAAAAAAGAATTCATATTCAAAATCAATAAAAAATTTGAATATTAAACTTTTAATTTCTAAATTAAATATTACTTTTTATGTGGAGATTTTATCAATTCCCAGGGTTCGGAAAAAATTCGATATTAAAGTTAATTTAAAAGTAAATCTAAGAGAAAAATACATAAACAGTTTTGACAGTATCAAAACCCTGATTAGAAGAATATAAATGATAAAATGAAGAAGGATAAATAGTAATAGGTGTATCAAACTTTCCGACCAAATTTTCGGTTCAAGAACAATGCAAAAAGGTATTAAAAGGATGTTAGTGAAAAACAAATTGTGGATGAGAAAAAAGTATTAATTAAAATGATGAATTTGAACTTTTAGAAAAATTTGCAATCTTAAATATGTTCTTAGCATAACGATTGACGCTAATATAGAATAAAATCTTAATTGTTGTTAATGGCTTCAATTTCCATTACCATTACTGTTACCATTTGCATTACCGTTGTTGTTACCATTATATCCTAAATAGCCCCAGTAGCCACCGTTAGAATTACCATTAGAATTACCATTGTCTCCACCAGCACCATTGGCGTTACCATTGACATTACCATTTTCGTTACCATTATCATTACGTTTTTTGAAGTCATCTTCAACAACCAATTCTGTTTTAGTTTCAACTGTAGGCACCACAAAAGATGCAATTTTGTAAAATTAATTATTTCTAAAATGTTCTATATTGATGATTGTCCAAAACTCAAAATATATAGATGTATTATTGTCAATCATCAACACAGTCCTAAAGAAAGAATTTAAAGTTCGGAATGGTTATTCATTATTATGATGGTTAGTTGGTTAAAAAAATATATGCAACCTTCAAAAAAATACTAAACTGAAAGAATCTATTAATAATTGAGTGAGATGTGAGCTGTGCTTTCTGGGTGTTAAATGGCAAGTGATAAGTGATAGATTAGTTGGTTCAATTTTTTTTCCATTACTGGAAAGATATAGTTGAACTTGTTAGTGAAAAAAAGTGTTTAGTTTTTGGGGGTATTTCATGAACTTAGAATAAACCCAAAAAAGTGATGATTGCAATGTAAAAATGGTAATGGCGAGGATTGAATTTTTATTTCCAGTAGTAATTTGGGGTAGAGGCCAAATGGACAGGTTCTGTCACGTAGTCAGCGGCATAGGTTTGAGTAAAAGGTTGCAAGAACCCTTCCAATCAAATTCAATGGAAGTAGATATGTTGATTCAGAAAAATGTTTAGATGTGAAGAGTTTGGGACTTTTTTTATTAACAATCCTGCCATTATAATAAAACAGAATATTTTCACCATGTCTCTTTTCAGAGTTATAAGAAAGCTAAGATTCCAAAAACACTTCCATATTAGGCAATTCCATATTAGACAATAATTGTTATTAGCCACATTTGGTTGTTTTTTTTGTTTATTTTGTTTATTTTAGTTGGTAAATGGAATAAATCATGGTTAGATCATCCAGCATCCACCAGAATGTCTGTTCAGACTTCGATCGTTCAATGGCCGAATCCCTGTGTTTCCCCGAGCGGGAAAACGTAAGTGCGACGAATCTGCGGTCGTAGGATGAAATATTCAGCGGGACCAAAAAGAACAGACCGGTCCATTTCAGCATTAGCGCACGTGCTTCTCATGGTGTTTTAAATCCGATTCATGTTTGATTTTACTTTAGAACAAATCAAATCTCTCAACATTTTATGTTGGGAAAGGAGAGCGATTCCTGATAATCTATTTCTGCTTTTTAATAGAAGGGGTTCAAACTCTCATGTCATATCCAACATTTGTTATTCGATGTAACCATTGACATTACATTACCCTTTCCCCTTCTACCAATTGTAGAGAAAAGTGCAAACTAATATTTTCAATGAAATTTCCTTTAAACTTGTTTTATATTTAACTGCTTGGGAAATGATTTGGGTTTACAAAATAGCTTATTAGGAAAACCTATCAAATACCTTTTATTGATGAATTTACATTGTTTCTTTTTAAACAGTTTAACCACCACTATCATAATTGGTGGTTAAACTTTTCAGAAACTCATTGCAAACCCTTGCACAGAGATATATCTGACATGTTTTAAATCTTTTATTTACTTTAAAATCAATTCCAAACTCTACCCTAGTAGAATGTTTTTGCATAAAAGCATTCTTGATGAGTTGTTTGAATTTGAATAAAAAATTGATTACAATAATTTAGGTAAACGGTATGTTGAAGTCAAAGTTGAATTTCTATTTTAATTTGGTTTTACATGATCATCTCAATTTTGAATTGATCAAATATATGTGTTCACAAAGTCCAAATAATGGTTATGTTAAAACTTTTATAAATCGTTGATTTCATCCACGCTAATAATTCATAACGATATATTGTCAATTTCAGCAGACTCTAGTTTCAATTTTGAGTGTCTACACTCAAATACCGCAAGACCTTCATGTTTGATAGCTCAAACTTCAATAATCCAAATTTGCTTTCAATCTTTGAATTGAATTTTAACATGTTCCATTTATCAAAGTAATCAAATCTCTCTGCTTTTCCTCAATCCTCCAATTTTCATTCCTAGCGATTGATTCATTCCTCATTTGTATTTCCTTCTTTAAATACCGAATCTACCAAATCTATTTCATTCAATTCCTATTCCGCCTGCTATAAAAATTTGGAAGCTGTTATAAAAGTCTCAAAACTCTTATTTCTGCTAAAGCTATTTTTTAATTCATTTACTTCTAAAATGGTGTTATTGCGTCAGCGTTAGATATTAATTAAATTACCTTGATCTTTCTTTTCTAAATCCAAAATTAGTTATAATTAATAAATTTAGTTATTTTAAATGGAAGAGATGAGCCGGCAGGTCTTTTGGAAAACAAATATCAATGGGACCATAAAGGTAATGAAATACTAATTTGTGTAGTTTATCTTAAAGGGATTCAATTATTCTAACTGTCATTACTTGTTTTCTTCTACATCTCTTCCTCGAAACTATATTATCTACTATCTGTAATCAATTTGAGATTGATGATTTCGAGCGATTCAAGTAATAACCAACAAAATTTCCCAAACTTCAATCTAAATTTCAAATCTAGAATTTAATGTTCATTGCAAATTCATTTTATTATAAACTATCCTCACTTGAATAATAATGTTTTTTCTTTAAATATTGTTTAAACGCGACTCCTCAGCTGTAATGGTTTGAACTGATTCTTTGCTTTTATCTGACACTATGCCTTTTTAATCAGATTTTTCATTTATCATAAATCAGATTGCTAAGTACTAGAATTGCTCTCGTTTGAGATGAACAAGCAATGTGTATATTAGAATTGATCTTTCTAATTGAAACTAATTTTGATTGCATTTGACATGATCAATGCAGCAATACATCAGCATCCCCTTATTGAATAGAAATATCAGATGGCTACCATCATTTGATAAATTGTTTTGGTATTAACGTAATGTAGTCGCTCACCATTTGAAATAAAATATCAGCAAATACACGAGTTTTACCAGTGATGTCAGCAAGTTGGCGGGGCAAAAATGACAAAACCACTTGATCTTTTACTGCCAGATAATTTACGACAAGCACCAAAAATTTCGGAAGCAACACAATTTAAAGATGGGTTCTAATTTTAAGTTTGACTTGATGTTAATTCATTATTTAGAAATATTTTAAGTTGCTGCTCAATAGAGTAGTCTAACTTAATTGTATCCAGTTGGAGAAAATTCATTTATTTATTGTTTAATGGCTAGTAAATTCATCATCTGAAGAACAATTAACTGCATAATCAACAAGATGACTTGAATTGAGAGCTGTCTTTTGAAATGTGAGCCACTTAGCTTTATTTTGCAGTATATATTATTGATGCATGTTTATTCCTTAACTTATAAAGATCAATCTCGCTATGGGTTTTCTAATCATATACAAGTTTCTAGAAACCCTATCGGTCTCAGTCATAATTCGATAGTCTGCAATTGAAATAGAATGCAGAAAGCAAAGCAAGAGCATCGTTTGATAGGTATTGTCCTCTGTAGTTAATAGCTCTTGCGGACCACCAGTGTGGATTCTGTCAGAGATGCATTGTTGTGCATTTATGTTACCCTGCTCTCACGAACATGCTTACGTGATACATGTGTATAACTTGTCACGGATAATTTCAGCACAACGGCCGACGAAAGCGGAAAGTGTTCTCTGTTTGCTGAAGGCAGCCGTTACCCTTCCCTTGCAGCTCAAGTTCAATTCCCATCCTTATGCCATTACATCCCTGGCCCGTTTTTGTTGCAAAAGCTGGTTGTTGTATTTCTCAACTCTTCTTTTCTTATAAACTCATCTGTTTCTTGTTTTCTGTCTATTAGCAATTGTAATTATTATTACTTTATCATAGTGTTCAATCGCGTTCTATTCATTCATCAATTCTTTCGTAAAATGTCTTCTTCAGAAATTGACAATTTGGCAATCAGCACCATCAGATTATTATCTGTTGATCAAGTTGCTAAAGCCAATTCTGGCCACCCTGGTGCTCCCTTAGGCCTAGCTCCTGTTTCTCATTTTCTATGGAAGCAGATGAATTTTAACTCCAAAAACCCAAAATGGTTAAATAGAGACAGATTTATTTTATCAAATGGTCATTCTGTTGCGTTACTTTATTCATTATTACACTTATTTGGTTATCCTTTAACTTTAGATGATTTATCCAACTTCAGACAATTAGGCTCAAAAACACCTGGCCATCCAGAAAGCGAGACCCCAGGTATTGATGTCACTACTGGTCCTCTTGGTCAAGGTATTGCCAATGCTGTTGGTTTAGCAATTGCTCAACAATACGTTGCTGCCACCTTTAATGAAGAGAATTTCACCATCTCTGATAACTATACCTATGCTTTTTTAGGTGATGGTTGTCTTATGGAAGGTGTTTCTTCTGAAGCCATGTCTCTTGCTGGTCATCTTAAATTATCAAAATTAATTGCTATTTATGACGATAATCATATTTCCATTGATGGTTCTACTGATGTTGCTTTCACTGAGGACGTCACTAAAAGATTGGAGTCTTACGGATGGAATGTTATATGGGTGAAAGATGGTAATAATGATTTTTCTGCTATTCAATCTGCAATTGAAGAAGCAAAGAGTTCCATTGATAAACCAACACTCATAAAGCTAACAACGAAAATTGGTTTTGGCTCCTTGAATGAAGGAACCGCCGGCGTCCATGGTTCTCCCTTGAAACCAGATGATATTAAGCAATTGAAAACAAAATTTGGCTTTGACCCAACAAAAACATTCCAAGTTCCCCAAGAAGTTTATGGTTTTTACAAAAACACTACTTTAAAAAAGGGTGAACTTGCTAATGAAAATTGGGATAAATTAGTTGATGATTACCAAGAAGCTTATCCCGAAAAAGGACAATTATTAAAAAGATTAATTTCCGAACAATTGCCAGAGAATTGGAAATCGTTCTTACCTACCTATAAACCTGGTGATAAATCTTTAGCTTCAAGAAAATTATCTGAAATTGTTTTGCAAAATATTCACCAGGTTTTACCAGAATTAATTGGTGGTTCTGCTGATTTAACTGGCTCAAATTTAACAAGATGGACAAACGCTGTTGATTTTCAACCTCCCTCCACTGGCTTGGGTGATTATTCTGGTAGATATATTCGTTACGGTGTTAGAGAACATGCTATGGGTGCAATTATGAATGGCATTGCTGCTTATGGTTATAACTTGAAGCCATATGGTGGAACTTTCTTGAATTTTGTTTCCTATGCTGCTGGTGCTTTGAGATTGTCTGCCTTATCTGGTCACCCTGTTATTTGGGTTGCAACCCATGATTCTATTGGTCTTGGTGAAGATGGCCCAACTCATCAACCTATTGAAACTTTGGCTCACTTCAGAGCTATTCCAAACTTGATGGTTTGGAGACCTGCTGACGGTAATGAAACCTCTGCTGCATATTTGAAAGCAATTTCAACTAACAAGACTCCATCTGTTATTGCTCTTACCAGACAAAATATTCCTCAATTGGAAGGCTCTTCAATTGAGAAAGCTCTCAAAGGTGGTTACACTTTAGTTAAAACTGAATATCCAGATATTATTTTAGTTTCCACCGGCTCCGAAGTTTCCTTATGTGTCGAAGCAGCCAAACATTTGAAAGAAGAAAAGAATATTAATGCTAATGTGGTTTCATTACCTGACTTTTATTCTTTCGATGAACAATCCGATGAATACAAATTATCCGTTTTTCCAAATGGTGTTCCAATTTTGTCAGTTGAAGTTTTAAGCACTGTTGGCTGGTCCAAATACTCTCATGCACAATTTGGTATTGACAGATTTGGAGCTTCTGGTCCAGCAGATGAACTTTATGAGTACTTTGGCTTTACAATTGAAGGTGTTAGTGAAAAGGCAACTAAAGTTGTTGACTACTATAAAGGTAAAGAAATTATTTCACCTTTAAATAAACCATTTTAAATGCTATTGTAACTTTTTTATAGTTTTATCTTTTTCCACTTCAGGTTAAACTTTTAGATCTACGTTCGCCTAATGATATTTTTGCAGATGTTTTTATTTTGCTTCTATTTTAGTTTAATGAAAATTCCATTATTGCAATTGTTAAAACCAACTCATTATCCCTCGTTACTTCGCAAGTATTAGTCTTTCTCCTGCTAAAAAACAATCACCAGATAACTATCAAATAAATTCTATGATGTAATTCAGAAGAACAAAACATTGTGTAGAAGAAAAGACCTTGTATTCCTCAAACTTTATGAATAGTTCAATAAATGCAAAAAGCAAATTAAACACATCAATCGTTGTATGTAACTAATCATTTTATTACAGTTGATTATTACCTTTACAAAAGGAAAATATTCTGTAAATAAATTCTTTTAAAAGTGTGCAATGATAATCGAATCTCGAAATTCTCGCCTCTTCAAGTCGTAGAGAGCGAGTTACCCGACTTTATTCGTTTTTCATATCAGAATTCATCTCAAGTTTCGAAGGATGCTTTGTTCCTAAGTGTTAATTTTTATCTTCAAGATGAAAGTTGCTTTGCCTTTATTCAAACGTTCGGTCTGGAAGGGACCCTATATTGTGCCTTTGCCTATAGGAAATGCATTAAAGACTGGAAATCCAATAAGAACAAACGCTAGGTCTTGTACCATCATCCCGCAGTTTGTTGGTGTTAAATTTCAAGTTCACAATGGTAAAGAATATGTTCCAATATCGATTACACAAGAAATGGTGGGTTTCAAATTAGGTGAATTTGTTCCTACAAGAAAGAAGTTCAAGTACAATTTAACCAAGAACTAAAAGGTACACTATTTAGCAATAATTGATTCCTGCTTTTGCTTTGCTGAAATTTTCTGTTGGAGTGTTTTGTAAATAAACAAATAAAAATTAATAAATAAATAAATTGAGAACAGACAAACAAACTTATTACACTGTAAATATTACAATATTAATCGTTTTAAACCCAAATATTTTATATAATGAAATGTATTTTGGATGCATATACCTATTTTAAAGATTTTAAAGTAGTTTTAGAAATACAAAAAAAGTAAAGTGTGAAATAAAAATAATGAAAGAGGACACAATGAAAAATATTGAATAAAAACAGAAAACTTGAAAAACAATTTCAATCTTTAAATATTTTCGCCCCCACAATAAAATTTGAGAGACAATTGAAAAATAAAATAAAAATACCAATTTATGCAAAAAGGGGAAAAATAAATCTTGAAAAAAATTAATTATCAAAGTCAAATCATAAATTATACTTATTTTGAGTGTTTTGTTATTTATTAAGTGGTAATATATTCTGGTTGTTCAGTTATCAAATTTCAGCCTAATTAAAAACATGAAATGTATATGAAGTAGCATCTTGGACAATGTCACTAAAGTAAAAACCAAAAATAACCACCAAATACATTAATATTAGCAAACTTCCTTTGAAATAATTGGACTTTCCCTCAGCATAAATATATGTAAACATATAAACAGAGATCATGGAAATCACCAAATCCCATCTCGGAAATAATAAAGTAAAATAGTTATTTTCCAAATTAACACCAACAATTTCTTCGCTGGGTATTTTCATAAGATTGTACACTGAATAAATTACCAATGCTGGGATTTGCAACAAAATGACTTGTAAAACATATGCGCTACCGATTTCCATGGATAAAGCAACATTCCCGTGCATTGCAAAAGAAATAGCATTCAAAAACTCTGTCGTATTTGGAACCAACGCAAACACAGTTAATCCTAAAAATTTGGGGTTAATAGGGAATTCTTGCAAAACCACATCAACACAATCAACTAAAATCTCCGCAATAATGGCGTATAAAACAGTTGCACCTAACAAAATAATGCTTGATTTACTTCTGGACCAGTTTGGAGCGTCATGACCCCCAGCAGCTGCCTCCTCCTCCTCCTTTGATGGACCTTCAATCTCATGTTTGACTGTATGAGCAATATTTTGAATTGCTGAGGATATCTTTCTCGTAATTGAAGGTCTTCTAATTGAAGATGAAATACCAGATGTCTCATCTAGTGGTAAAAGATTAGGAGAATGACCCATCTCTGGTCCTGCTGAATTTAATGTTGTGGAATTTGCCATACTTTTGCCACCTTCTTTCTCTCTTTCGACATTTGTTTGCCAGATCAATGCAGCATGTGTTCGAAGAGTAAACCATAAGCCAATACAATAAGCTAAAAATAATATTATGGAAGCAAAAATAGTTAATGGCTTCAAAAACTGAGAATATAGTATATCATATTTTAAACTCGGCATAGAAAAGTGGCATTTACGACAATCATTTGAAGTAATTGCTTCACCTGAGTTGCATTGGGTACAAGTAATTTCATAGGCACCGAAAATTTGTTGAAAAATACTTGGAGCAAACATGACAACCATTGAAAATAATAGCATTGTTGAGCTGACTCCAGCCGATTTGGGATTATATCTTTGAGTTTTTCGTTTGACAGCACCAGCACACATTGAAAGCCCAGGTAACAATAAAACAGCACCTAAAATTGATCCAATCAAAGATCCTTCAACCAATTTCCCTTTAGATTGATTGAGAGCAACACAATAAAGAAAAACTTCAACAACAGTCGAAAAGAATGCGTTTATCACTGCACCTGCCCCCATAGAGGATTGAGCAGAAATGGATGCAACAGCTTGACCAATAAAATATGCCAAGGGAATAACACTAGCAAGACAAAGGCCAAAAATAACAGAAGGATGAGTTAAAAATAATTCGAGCTCAAGATACTCAGAAAGGAAATAAAAATCAAAAATAACAAAAATCACACCAAACATTAAGTTAATTAAGAAAACATTAGTACCATCAACTGTATATTTATAATAATGGAAGCCCATGAATCTGTAAGTACAAAGCAAAATATTTGAATTGTTTATGTTTTTCGCTGAAGAGTTTTTATCATCCTTGAAAAATATAGCCAAGGGGTGTTTTCTTAAATGATTGAGCAACAATGTTGTTACTTTGGACATAGGTATACTGAAAACCAACAACCAACAAAGAAATGAAATTATGTACAACACAGGAGCTAGGAAGATATAATAGTAGATATAAAAAGCTAGTCTTCCAACATTCCATTTTCCTCTACCGAAAAATCTAACTTTGTTAGCTGCACCGTTTTCTAAATCAATATAATCATGCTCATCTGCCTCTGGGTTAAAAGGAGGATCGTTGCTTAAAGAATGATAATTTCCATCACCGTCACCCATAACAGATCCGTTAATCGAAGGTTGATGGCTTAATAATGGTGTTATTTCGTTACCAGGACCAACAGCAAGACTGTTAGTATTTGAATTTAAGACATTTGTTTGGCCCATGCTTGAATTTCTCATCCCTCTTGAAGAGAAAAATAAACCTCTTTGGTCAGTATTATTTCTCCACCTTTGATATTCTCTTATTGTTATACCTTCATTAATATCTTCATCGATATAGTTTGAGTCTTTATAAAGATAAATTACTTTTCCAAAAGGATTTAAAAAGTACAATCCTAATTTCCAAATAAAAAATGTATAGTTGAGCGAATTATTTTTGGAAGATTTTTTCAAATTTAAAAAGAATAAATTGATCAAGAGAGTGAAGAAAAACCCAATCAAACAAGTGATGAACAATATTAGGCCAAAAGTTAAAAACCAAATAATATTACCGATAGAAACCCAAAATGTGATTTTTCTACCAATATTTTTGTTTACTTGATGGATATCAGAATCGGCTTGTCTTTGCACAGAACGAATTTTTTTATAAAGGGCAGGTTTCCAGATTCTGATACCAAAAGGATGGGTAGTATTGATTGCATCTTGTCTTTCCCTTAATGTGAAAGATTCCAAAGAAGAAATACTTTCACTGTCAGCAGAATTTTCCTGATTGTCATTGTTAGTATTGAGATTGAGAAATGGTGGATAATCGGACTCGTTTTGCAAGTCTGAACCATTTAAATCGAAATTTTGTAGGGATGCAGCATTTTGATTTGGGTTTGCATTAGCGATAGCATTTCTGCCAGAAGATGTGTAGGTGGTATTCAAAGTATTAGAGCGCTTAAGTCGATGAGTATCCATACTAACGTCTTCAGGAGCATTTGAAGACTCATTAGAAACAGTTGGAACTTGAGGTAGAGGTTGAGATTGAGAACCAATGGCTGGGGGAGGTAGCATCAGAGAAGGCGACATGGGAGTAATTAAAGGAGAAGTAGCAACTTCGTTATTTGCCAAACTTTTCTGTTGCTTCTTGGGAATTTTCGCTTTTAAGGCATCTTGATAACCTTCAAAATACTCTCTCTGCAAGTCTTTTTGAAATTCATCCTGGTCATCGTCAACACTAAAAATCAAACGATTTTTAGAAGACAAAGTGTTGGGGACAACAGAAGAGGAGACACCTATGTTGGCGTGGGAGGGCAATCTTTGCAAATTGAGAGTTGTATGGTGATGTTTTTTGATTTTTCTGACTGTGTTGTTGGCAGTGTTTGAGGTTTGAGATAGTTGAAGGGATGCTGGAGTAGGAACAGGAGCATTGAGAGGAGAATTGAGATTTGAGTTTGGTTGTTTGTTGGAACTCATTTTGACAATAGCTAGCAAAGCGTAAAAGCAGAGAGCACAATTACAGATCTAATTCAACAATAAACATAGTCTATGACCATAATCCATGGACAGAATGATTCCAGCTACAAATCGGACACTATTTATACAAAAAAGCGAGAGTGGAATTTATTAAATAGAGTTGTAAATAAAGTCACGTTCACGCTCACGCTCAACAGGCGGTGGAAGCTGCAGAATGCACAATAAACATGCGTGCACAATAAACATGCACCCTGGACCTTCGAAGTTGAGCAGGAAAAAATAACCGGCTGTTGATGCACCACAGCCAGCTATGTTTGCATGTCGTTGAGGCCCAACGTTTCGTTTTGGTCTTCGGTTCGTTCGTAGTCTTCCACCACCATGTTGGGGTCGTCATCGGGAGCATACACGTTTTGAATGTAGGAGGCAGCTAATGGGTCTTCCATGATCACTGTAAACACCATTTTCCCATCGGTTGCCTTTTGTAGCTTCTCAAAAAAAGCTTGCCAGCTGTGTTTTGATTCGCTTTCCATCGAGTCTGATGTTTCGGTGAAAACCTTGCTATGAAGCTCTTCGTAAACTTCTCTTAGAATTCCCTCCAATGTGGTAAATCTACCGCCCAAGGTGCCTGGTGTTAGGTCCAAGTTGATTTCGGGAATCACCAATTGACAGGTTTCTGACTTTAAAAGATCCCTCTTCAAATCTTCAGGATCATCTACTTTCAATGTAATTCGCCTCCCCATTTCTGGAATAGCTCCCCCAGTTTTAACTTCGTTGGATCTGTACCCACAATGATCACAAACCGTGCTCATAATAATGACTTCTTTGAAATGAGGAATATTAACCATTTTCATGTGTGTTTCACATGGCTTGTAACATGAAGAACAAGTAGCGTAGAATGTTTGGACTTCATTTTCGAAATTTTCAATCTCCGTTTCCTCAGAAATAAAACCTTTCGAAATTGGTTTAGCAAATTTGGTTTCGTTTTCTTCTCTTTCTTTTGCTAGTTTTTTATTTTCTTCCATTTTGTCTTGAGTAATTAGACCCAAAAATACATTTTGTTCTGGTGTTCTTTTGAATTTTGTCAGAGACCACTTGTGAGCAGCTTCGTTGGGAACAAACTCAATCCAGGAATTTCCTGAAGGATCGCTCATTGTAAATGTTATGGGTAATATTCCTTCTTTGCAATCAATAGCATCGTTTACTTTATTTATGAACCCTTCAATTTTATTGAATAGTTCTGGTTCATTATATTTTCGAACAGGTTGACCACTCTGTAAATCATCAACCATTTCTCTTAATAATCCCTCTAAATTAGTTAACTGCCCTCTTTTAGGGGGAATTTCAATTTCTAGTTCTTTAAATTTACAAGTAGCAGTCTCAGATTTGACAATTTGTCTATTAAAGTCTTTTTTATTTTCAATCCTAAATACGTATTTTGATCCATTTTCTTGTATTTCAGTTGCCGGTTGAATCTCAGAGTTTTTAAATCCGCAATGAGGACATTCAAATGACATTAAAATAACATCTCGAAAATATGGAATGTTTGTTAATAGTATTCTTGTCACACCATTTTCTTCACAATTCACACATAAAGATTGTATTTCTTGAATATAGTTTCCAGCTGAGTCATGAGCATCAGTTTTCTTTATCCCATCATTATACACCTCAGTTGATTCTACAACTTCAGATACTGGTTTGAAATAGTTTTCTTTTTCTTCGCTTGCCATTATTCTTATATTTTTTTGAATTTTGAATTTTTTGATTATTTCTATTCTTATTGTTAGAATGAAATTTAATTGGAAATTACTGCTAGCACATCATCAAATGTTTTCTTCGTTCCATCCGATGATTAATAATTAAAATTTTTCAAAACAAAAAGTCCACCCACTGAACTGGTTTCAAAGGCGCTAATTCTAAATCAGGACTAAAAGCAAAACAGTTTACATCCATGAGCTAATCAAAACAATATTACTATATCTGGAGGCTTTAAAAGAATACAAAAACTGAGTTAATCTGAAAATATTATTCAAACAACTTTAGTTGTTTGCTTATATTCTACAAGTGAGAGAGAGAAAGAGAGATTTTAAATCCCACAAAAAAACAAAATATAATATTATAGGTTATAAATGAGTAAATTATTTTTGTTTGAAATAAAATAATCTAGTCACATAAAAATATTATAAGAAAATAAGAAATAGTATAGTAGTTAAAAGACAATCATAACGAAGTAAAATTTTATAAGTTCTTAATATTTTTAGACAAATACAAAGAAATTAATTCAATATTAAAGAAATCAATAATCAAGAGATTTATTTTTCTTTCTCAAGGTCTCCATTTGTAAATTATAAGTATTACCATTAACAACAGCATCTTTAATAACAGCGACTCTCATGGTTGCTAATAAGTTATGGGCTGCATTTGAATGAATATAAACACCGCCGTTAAAAGCAGTAGTAGCATCTTTACCAGAAGAGGCTTTGATTAGAGGTTGACCACCTGGATGTTCAGCAATAAAGTTTGCAACATCATGAACTATACCAGAAATGATAACCAAGCCCTTCTGTTCTTTTGATCTTTGAAAAAATTCATCCTTGGTCCAAACAGGCAACTCATTCAAGGGAGTACCCCAGTTTAGTTTTAATTTTTCGGCATCTAGTTTCTTCTGCTTTTGCTGTAATATACCTTGTTCAATGGCATTTTGAGAAAAAGTCTTTAAGTTATAAGATAAGCCAACTAATGAGGATAAATAAATTACATGTTTGGTTGGATCATATTGGTACCATTTAAGAGCATTTCTATAATCACTTGGAAATTCGTGATGAAAATTGTGGTAACCCTCACCAAATGTCAATAAAGCAGTTAAAAAGTGATCTCTTGGAGTTCTTCTATCATCAAATGGTTGGACACCGATCCAATGAGCCACAGAATTAATACAAAAAGTTGCTTGTTGAATGACAAAATACTTCAATATACCAGCGTAGACAAAACCGCCTAAATAATCGTTCCAAAAGTAACCAGAAATTATAGTTGGCAAAATTAAAGCCATAAAAAGCATTATAGGGATGTAGTGTCTGTGTTGAACTCTGACAATCCAATCATCGGTTAAATCACTGATATCAGCTCTTGCTCTGTATCTTGGATTTGGTTTTTGTAGCATCCAGCCCATGTGAGAGTACCAGAAACCCTTTCTGGCATCATAAGGATCTCTATTAGTGTCGGTATATCTATGGTGGATTCTATGAGAGTGGCCCCACCACTTAATTGAACCTTCAACAGCGCCAGCACCAAATAAAGCATATATTAATTTAACAGGATCTCTTGCTTGATAAGCTTTGTGGGACCAAAGTCTATGATAACCAGCAGTAATTGATAAACCACTCATTACATATAAGCTAAAGCCTAGTATTAAAGTTTTTGAGTGAACAGGAACCCATATAGTTGATAAGAAACCAGATAAAGGAATAAAGACCACAAGAATTAAATTAAGCCAATTTATATGATCATGCCAGTTTGAAAGAGTCCAAGGTTGTTCAGAGATATGTTTTGATTTTGAATATTTTAATCTGTCAGCACGATCTTTTGCTAATAAAGCATTTATAGAATCTTGAGCTAGTTGCTCAGCAGTAACGGTTGTCATTTCTTTTGAGCCCATTAACTTGCCTCCAATACCAGAAGCAACAACCCTTCTTGAAGGTTTATTTGTGCCTGCAGCAATAGCAGAAACTGCAGTTAAATCAACAATATCAATAGAAGACATGATGGTTGAATCGAATATAGGTAGTTGGGATAAGGGTAGTAAAAGGATATTCCAATAAGGGGAAAGCAGAATAGTAATAGAATATTTTCTATTGAAGTGAATAAAGAAAAAAGAATATTGATATAGTATTGAATAAAATGAAGTTGTCTTTAGAGTAAAATTTAAGTTAATAAATTTTTAACTGTCTACTACCAGAAGAAAGAGAAAAAAAGAATATTAAGATATCTTTGAGTTTTTTAGTTATTTTTTAGTTATTTTTTTTGATTTTTTTATGATTTTGTGAAGAATTTATAGAAAATTGGGGGATTTATAGAGAAAAAAATAAAAAAAAGTGATAAAGATGATACAAGAATACAAAAAAATATAATTGATTCAAATTTATATTAGAACCAACAATCGAAATCGAAAAATCAGATCTAAACTGGAGGTAAGGGAGGCAGAGCATCGCAGTATAATATAAATTCCCTCGGCCAGACCGGGCAACCCTGACACAAAGGCAACAAAAGGCAGAGAAGCAAGCATATTACCCTTCTTCCGTTTACGGTCACTTTGTTGTTGGTTTGCTCAGGGATTGTTGGGCTGGACGCTGGCCAATCGCAGCGCGCGCCTGAAAAGGTGTTGAACCACGCTTAATGCAGTGCATCCAGGCAACATGATGCTTAGCATCACATATACACGCGCTTGCCCGGTGGAATTGAGACCAACACAGTGGGACAGAACAACGACCGGGTCACTCTCGGGCGAATGGTCTGGGCTGTGCGGCCTCGTAGAGCCATTTGCCTAAAGTGGTAATGTCCCACACAGGAAGCTTGTATCTATCCCAGATGGCTCTTTTGTAGGGAGGCATGTTGGTGCACTCCAACACCACTCCTCCAAGTCTGTTTAGACCTCCACACTGATCCACGAGTCTCTCCATCGCTTCCATTACATCCTGCTCGTGCTGCTCGTGGTGGAACTCCTCCTCTTGGTATACCATCTTCTGAAAGCTCGACCCGTCGGCTACACCTACCACCGGCGTGTCCAATGGTGCTCCTGCCACACGCAAATGCTCATTTGTCAAGTTTTTGGCATCAAATGTGATCACTCCAATGGTCTTGTCTTTGCCAACAAACTGTCTTGCAACTCCTACTTGCAAGATTGATGAGCTTCCAATCAAGATACTGTCAAATTTATTCACCATCTCTTCATGTAATGTAGCCAAAAAGCCACATCCTGTAACAACTGCGACGGCTCCATCCTCAATGCACTTTAATATCACTTTGAAGTATGTTTCTTTAAATTGATCACTAAACTTCCCTCCACTTTGAACAGTTTCACATGTAGTTAATCCCTTGACAATATAAATTTTGGCTGGAATTCCCATTTCCTCCCATGTCTTGATATTTCCATTATCTCCCGGTGGTCGATGAAATGTATTATCCACCTGTAGAACTGCTAAAAATCCACTCATTATTCTTGTTTACCTATTGCTGATTTATTGTTTATTCGATCGATTTTATAGTTATTTTTTGTTTTCATTCTTCTTTGTACTATTATTAACTTCTCTTTATATTTCTGATATCTATCTCCTCATTTTAAATGTCTCAACTTAGTAATTCCGTTTTTACTTTTGACTCTTCCTTTGATTTCGGTTTTTTTCGAATCGTTCTCTCGCAACTGCCATTTTGGTCAACGCGCCTAATATTCAAAACCTAATTTAGTATCAATTTTTTTTTTTTTTTATATTGTGGTATCTTGGCACTGTCGTGTTTTTCCGTCTTAAGAACTCTATAATTGTTGGTTTATGTCTGCCATTTTAGTCTTTATTATCACTCCCATATATATATATCTAAAGTTTGTCTCTTCAAATGTACTATATTTTTAAATTGTTAGGTTCCTTTTTTCTTTTATTTTTTTTGTTTTACTATCTGATCTTATCATTTCGTAACCTTTCAAATTCTTTTATCTATCACACAAAATGACCTCCATTTCTGATTACTCAACCTCAAATAAAATCCCTAATATTCTCATAATTGGCGTTGGTGGAGTTGGTTCAATCATTGCATATGGCTTAGATTATAATAAAAAATCAAATGTATCTATTCTCGTTAGATCCGACTATACTAAGGTTGTAAACTCTGGTTATACAATCGACTCCTGTGATTACGGTTTCATTAAAAATTGGAAGCCCAATTGTCGCATTTTTCCAGATATTCAATCTTCTACCTCTTTAAAACCTTACGACTATATTATTATTGCTACCAAAAATTTACCTGATATTATCAATTTTGAAAAAATAATTAATCCCATTGTTGATGAAAAAAAGACAACCATAATTCTATTCCAAAATGGTTTTGGCAACGAAGTTCCCTATCTTCAAAATTATCCAAATAATATTATTCTAAGTGGTATTTCTCATATAGGCTCTCACAATATTAACACCTTCATTACTCAAACACAAAAAGATAAATCCTTCATTAGCTACTTTTATAATAAAAACATCCCTTTACAAATTCAAAATCTCAAAACAAATCACTTTATTTCAATATATTCCAATGAAAAAAACGACGTTAACTATTTTCCTGATGCTCAATATTATAGATATAGAAAACTAGTTTATAATGCTTCTCTTAACACAGTTTGTGCTTTGACAGGTGTTGACACTGGAAGATTAGAATTCTTTGGAGGTTTAGATAAAATCTCCATTCCTATCATGTATGAAATTATTGGAATTGCTAAAGCTGATAACGTTGAATTACCTTCAGATGTCATCAACTCAGTTGTACACTCTGATGATGGTGATTACTTTCAGCCTTCGATGTTAGTTGACGTGAAAAAAGGGAATCCAATGGAACTAGAAGTAATTTTAGGTAATTTATTGAGAAAGGCTAAATATTTAAATGTTGACTGTCCAAAATTATCGTTTCTATATGATTTACTTCAAATTGTTCAATTTAGATTAAAAGAAAATCGTTGTCTAATTCCTCCATTACCAGAAAAAAGACCAATATATAAAGAAAAGTTTTATAGTTAATTAATTTAATTCCTATAGAAAATATATCATTGATTTATGTTACACAATAAAACCCATTAAAATCATAACCTAATCTTAATTATTATCCCTAAATAATGTAAACCTACACATTTCACTAACAGATGTTGCAAATTCCAAAAAAATACATAAAACAAATATGAAAAAAATATAACATAAAACTCAAATATTAAATGAATAGCAAAAAACCAAATAACTAAAATAAAAATTGAAAAATATAGAATAAAAACTAAACACAAAAAAAACTAACAAGATGATAAAGAGATAAAATTTAATGAAAATTAAATTTCAAGCGTAAAAACAAAAACAAAAAAACAAAAACCAAAAACTCCCAAAATCAAGCATGATTAAACTGTTTCTCAAAACACAATTGAATAACACCGAAATAATATTCACAATTAACAAAGAAAACCAGGAAATATCCTTCTAAACCTTTAAACTGAATTCTGTTTTCAATGTGGCAACCGACGATTCAAGAGTAGCAACTGTTTCAGATAACTTGGTGATTTCA